CCTGACTCTGCTTTTGCACGGGGGGGTGGTCAGCCCTGCTTGGAATCAGATTCCTAGGATGACTTCAGTCTCCTGCAGTTAACCCCCCTCCCCGATTTGATGTTCAGCCCACTGGGTCCTCCTCAGAGCTCTCTATGGCATCTCAGAACAAAGTGCTGAGGACCTCAGAGCTCGCACTGTGGCTTCCTGGCTACTCACTGTTGCTGCAGGTGGCCTCCAAGGCCCCTGCTGTGGCTCTTTGATCCCCTGAGGTCCTGCTCCTGCTGCCTCAACACAGAGCCCTGCAGGCTACCCGGGTCTCTGACCTCTCTCTGGCCAAGCTGGGTGACTACAAACATGCTTATCTCTGCTGGCGTCCTCTTTTATACAGCTCTTGGCTGACTGTGCAGTTATGGAGGGTGGGCGTAGTTATTTCCTGTAGTTTCTCAGGGCATTTCTTGATCATCATGCAGCCTGGTGTCATTTTTTAGGTTTTCACCAGAGTAGATTTGTGGTACCATACCCACACTCCCCCATTTTACCTTCTGGCCATATTGGCCCATTTGCTGCTGTTCCCTGCATATGACATCTCATTTCCCACTTCTGTGCCTTTGCTCAGGCCGTCTCCCACATCTGGAATGCTCTCAATCCTCCCCTTTTCCTCTTCTCCTCTTCCAGCTCCTTTCAAGGTTTACCTCGAGCGCCACCTCTCCCAAGAGGCCTTCCCCGACTGCCTCGACGGGTAGTCACTTCTTTCCCCCATCACAGTGAATCTATTTTGTCTAGACCTGATATTTACCTATTTGTCAACATCTCATATTCTCCTAGGAGAAACACAGTTAAGCAAAACCAGCTAACAAAATGACTTCTTTGCCAGTTTATGTAATCACCGTCTGTGCTTCCGGTCCTCCAGCTCCATTCCTAGACTCGAGCTGCATTTCTTTATAGTCTTGGAACCATTTTGAGCCCTGTTTTCCTGGCTTTGTTTTCTTTGTCCTGCATCTGTTCATACATGTCTTCCCAGGTATCTTGGTATTTCTCAAAGCATAATAATATTCCATTATGGCACCATAATTCATGCCATTTATGACTTTGTTAACTACGTTTACCTAGACTTTCACAAATCATCTGGCAAAGTCTCATGCTATTGTTGGGGAAAAGGTGGAGGAGAGATGTGGGCTAGACAACAATACAGTTTGGTAGATTTGAAACTGGCTGAATGGCTAGGCACGAAGAGCTGTCATTAATGGTCCTTTGTCAGCTTGAGAACTCTCAGCAGAGTGCCCCAGGGCAGCCAGCAAAGTGGCAAGCCTGAGGATGACCCATCTGAGGACTGGTGCAAAGCAATGGGGACACTTAGCCTGGAAAGGGGAGGACTCGGGGGCACATAATAAATGCCTTCCAGCATGTGAAGGTCTTTCTGTTAAACAGGGGCCAGACTTGTCCTGCTTAGCCCCAGAAGAACTGGAGTAATGTTGGGGGAGGACAAACCAGAGACAGATTTAGGCATGATGCCTGGTAGCCCTGGCCTTGCTCTAGACCAGCGCTCCTTAAACTGTGGGTTGAGAAAAATTCGGCAACAGGAAAAGTTTCTGAATGCACACCAACCAAAAATTACTTAAAAATTAAGTGTGTAATGAATCCAAGGTGTTTCTGGCAGTCCTTGCCCACATTTCATCGAGCAACCTCACTGCAGCCTTGATTCTGAACACGCAACTTGTGCACTTTGCACTGCGAACGCCATCACGCCACGCAACACCCACGAAAGCTGCTGAAACCCAAAAAGGGGTCACAAGTGGAAAAGGTTTAAGAAGCCATGCTCTAGATCCACCATCTGCTCTGGACTCTCCAGCTCTCTTTCTGCTGGCTTGTTCATCTCACCCACACTCACACTGACAGGTCTGTGTCGTGTCCCCTCCCCCCAACTCCAAATTGAGGCCAACATGTCCAGCATGGGGAGGATACATTCCTACTACCCATCACTGTAGCTCCTGAGCCTCTATTTATAGGGTTCCCATCTATACAAAAATCTGTCCCAGAGACACCATTGACTCTTTTATTAAAAAGTTTTCATTGATATTTTTTGTTTCTTCTATCTCTGTGGTATCCTGTGTATCCCTTCCAGAGGGCCATCCCATATAACAAATAGCATTTTTTAAGAGAGGGAAAAAAATCAGCACAAATGGTCAATACATGGGAAAAAGTCAGAAAACCGGAGCAACGTATAGCATCCGTTAACCTCCCGCCTCCACAAAGGGGTGACTTCATTGGAGTTTCGCTCGACTTACAATTTTGTTACATGCCCTTCTGCTGCGTGTGTGGTTCTTTCCATTTACCTTGAGGTGGTTCCTGTGCATGGTGTTCTCTTGGCTGTGCTTCCTTTACACTCCATCAGTTCACACAGATCTTTTCAGGCTTCTCTGTATTTATCACACACCTCATTTCTTACAGCACAGTAATATTCCATTAGATTCATGTATCTTAATTTGTTTAGCCATTACCCAACTGATGGGCATCTACTTTGTTTCCAGTTCCTAGCAATCACAAAAAAGGACTGCTGTAAATATTTCGGTGTATACAGAGACTTTCTTTTTATTGATCGCTTTCTTGGGGTATAAGCCCAGTAATGGAGTCTCTGGTTCAAAGGATATGGATATTTTAGTCACTTTATTTGCATAATTCTAAGCTGCTTTCCAAGATGGTCGTACTATTTCCCAATTCCACCAACAATGTAGTAGTGTACCTAGCATTCCACAACCCCTCCGACATGGATTGTTGCCACTTTTTGCCATTTTTGCCAGTTTGCAGAGTGTAAGGGGAAACCTCGGGGTTGTTAATATTTGCATTTCTTCTTTTGAGAACTATCTGTTCATATCCTTTGACTGCTTATTTATTAGTGAATAAGTATTAGTCATACATATTTATTGTTTATATTTCTTGGATACCGAAATGAATCGGATAAATTTTAAAGATGTTTCCCCTGCCTTTGACCACTTCCCTTAACCTAGATGCATTAATGTTGTCTGTGCAGAAGCTTTTTAGTTTTGAGTAGTTATTTATTTTATCTTTTGTAATTACCTCTATCTCTTGTTTGGTGGAGAATACATCTCATTTCCATAGCTGTGAGAGGTAGATGATCTGTCTCTTTTCTAATATATTTTTTTTAAGGTATGACCTTTAATATTAAGGTCAAGTATCCATTTAGATGTATCGTGGAGAGGAGTGTAAGATGCTGGTCTAAGCCTAATTTCTGCCAGGCTGCTTTCCAATCTTCCCATCAGTTTTCAAAAATCAAATAAGGAGTTTTTCCCTAGGTAATTTATGTTTTCCATTTTATCACACATTGGATTGAGTTCTGTTGTGTGCAATTCTCTCTGTCTAGTCTGTTCTACTGATCTCTTTCTGTCTCTCTGTCTCTCTCTCTCTCTGTCTCTCTCTCTGTCTCTCTCTCTGTTTTTTAACCAATACCATATGGTTTTGATGATTGCTGTTTTATAGTATAGTTTGAGCTCTGGGAGTGTTATTCCCCTTCATCTATACTTTGTTTCATCATTTCCATTGATATTCTAGATCTTTTGCTTTTCCAAATGATTTTTGTTATCATTTTATTAAGCTCTGTAAAGTATCCCCTTCTGGCATTAAAAGTGTAAATTAATCTTCATCATTTTGTCATTTGTGTTATATTGGCACAGCCTAGCCATGAGCATTTAATATTCCTCCAGTCATTTAAGTTGCTCTTTATTTCTTTAAGGAGGATCTTGTAATCGAATCTCTACAAGTCTTTTTCATGCTTTGGTAGGTCTGCTCTCAGGTATTTTGTGCATTCTGCAGTTATATGATTGCCTCTTAAACATAAACCATTTAAAGAGTAAGGCAAAGTAATGATGATCAATCATAATGTTTAGTCAATAAGCAATTGAGTGTTTACTAGGTACCAAGCACTGTGCTTAAGCGCTGGAGAGGTATAAAAAAATGCAGAAGATAGTTGCTACCCTCAAAGAGCTTATAGTCTAACGGGGAAGACAACAAGCAACCGATTACGTACAGACAGGCGACATCCAGGCTAATCGGGCCAATGCAGGAAAAATCAAGCATCGTAGTTACTTGATAAAAGGTAAGAGCAGGCATAATCAAAACATCACAGTCCACCCACGGAAACCGGGGAAGGCTCTTCCATCAGCGTACATGGCATCAATCGGGGAAAATGGAACCTAGCAGGGCGTCCAATGAGTGGGAAACCCGAAGTGTCCTGGCCGTACCCAGGACAACTCGCATGTCCGGATGATGGGTCTTGACGTGCTGGGTCCTTTAAGGTACAATCGGGACCACATAAAGCTACGTCTCTGCTAGGTGCTCTCCTGTGGGGCAAAATCTCTCCTCTTCTGCTCCTGAGCTCTTTTGGTTCACAGCCACCCTTAACAGGGCATTAAGAAAGTGTTGTGGAGCCATGTAGGAGCAGTACTGGGTGGCCTCTGAGGTCCCTTCAAGTCCTGAGATTCTGTGAGTACAAACCATAGACTGGACCCTCTGGACCCAATGGGGAAGGTCACCAGACTTCCCATCCATAGGATGCTGCCTTCCCTGATCCCAGCTCTAGGTCCCACAGGACAAACAGGAAGAGCAGCTGACATCTCTGGGCAAGTTAATCGATCAGATTAGCCACTTACTTAGCCGGGCAGCCTGGAAAGGGCCAGCAGGGGATTTGAATTGGGAGTAAGTGGGAGGGTGAGATTCAGAGGCCCGGTTGGCTTCTGAAAGCTGGGGAACCTGGACACTTAAGGACAGTGTGAAGGCCCTCTTGATGACAGGGACATTATGGAGGATTTCAAAACGAAAAGTTGGGACTGAAGCTTCCTCCACCCATTTTTCACCAGGATTAGCTCTGATCTCCAGGCACCAGGTACTAGACTCTCAGAGCCTCCAGAAATGCTTGCTCCTTAATGGTCTTTCAGAACTTAGGCAAAGCGTGGCCTCAAGGCCCAGACATCAAAGTCTGGAAGGAGAGCAGAGGCAGGGCAAGGTCTGGAAATGCATCCGTACAGTACGAATGCTAAGTCATCAGAAGGAGGGAGGAAGCCAGCCAGGTGAGGCACGGATCCCAGGACTGAGAACTGGAAAAGACCTCAGCGATCATCTCTCCCACCTCCTCCTTTTTGCAGAAGAAGAAATTGATGCCCAGAGACGGACACAGGAGAGAGTTGGAGGGAGGGGCTCCGAGGTGAGCCCCCAGGCCCAGGATCCTGGGCTGCTCTGAGGTGGCAGGTCTGCACTGGGATCTGGGGAGGCCCAGGCAGGTCAGAGCTGAAGACACAGGGGGGCAGGGCTGCAGCTGGTTGAAAGCCAGGATCCTCCTGGGCCGTCCTAGCCCCTGGGGGCACTTGCCTCATTCTTTTCTCTGCTCTTTGCCCCCTCCCAGTGCCTCCTGACTCTGCCTTGGCCCAGGATTAGATGTGTTTGTAGAACTGCCAACCCCGTGACAGAAAGTGGGCTTCTGGACCGCTGACAGGTTGGTGTAAAAGGAGGGAAAAGAGACCTGGGGGCAGGGGCAGGGGAGGGGGCCTCCTGCTCAGCCTCCATCCACAATCCAAGGAACATTATCCGGGACCTGCTAGGGGCCGGGCATGGGGGAAAGAGACACAATGAAACACAGAGCCTGCAACAAGAAACTGGTGCCTCTGCTTGCAATTCTCACCCGATTCTAATCCCCAGACCCGGCACTGACCCCAAGCACCTAGAACAGCCCTTGGCATGATTATGGCGCTGCCAAGGCCTCTTCCCATCACAAAACGTTCCTTGAATTATTTTGAATATGCTCACACACGAATACAGAATCTGGACAGAACGTAGCCCCCATGAGGGACAGGGCTGTTTTCATTTTTGTATCCCCAGCACCCAGTACAAAGTCTGGGCACACGGTAGGCACTTTAGAACTATCGACTGCTGGATTTGAATTGGGAGCCAAGTCCTTGGCTGCCTTCCCAACCTTATCCCCCATCCGCCCAGTCCCCCTTCACTGCATTCACTGTTTTGGGCAAAGTGACCTACCAGTCAATCCACGAAGGGGCCACTCTGCTCTGGAAGAGGCAGCTGATGGTGTGGGGACTTGGGGTGGCCGGCAGTAGAGGCCTAGGATTCAGTCGGGCTTGGACATCTCCAAGTACGCTGTCCCCTCCCCCCAGTCTGACTGGGGAAGGGTAGGGCTGGGGTCCGTCAGAGGGACTCAGGCAGGGAGAGGCAGGGAGGGTGGGCAGGGGAGAGGAAAGCGGCCTCAGGCCACACACAAGGGCCATTTCTCCTTTCACCAACAATGGGCGAGCTCAGCAGCTCCCCATAGCGGGTCACCCCCTCCCTCCCCAGCCCACAGTGGCGCCTTTGTTCTCCCTCCCTCCTTCTTTTCTCTCCCTTTCCTTCTGGATTTCCAGAGGCTCCAAGCCCTGTACAGCGTGTATTATTTCAATTCAACCCAACAAGCATGGCGTGCCTACTATGTGCCAGGCACTAGAGAAACAAAAAAAGGCCAGAGACACCCCGTCCTCTCCAGGAGGGGCTGAGAGAGCGCCGGGCCTGGAGTCAAGAGAACCTGAGTTCGTATCCAGCCTCGGACCCTGCGTAGCTGTGTGACGCAGGGCAGGTCACGTCAGCCCGTCTGCCTCAGGTGCCTCATCTGTGGCCTCATGAGTGCCTTTGCCAAGAAAACCCCAAAAGGCGTCAATACTGAACCACAAAGCACTCAGACGCATTATTTCCACCAGTGCTTGCATGGGGAGCTGGGGACTGTATTATCCACGTCCAGGAAGCCCTAGACCTAGCTTAGAGTCTGAGATGTCCCGAGGCTACCCTAGGCGGGTGGGTGGAGAAGAGAAAGGACTTCGGAGAAGCCCCACGGAGTCCCGCGCTTCCAACCCCACAGCCCCCAAGAACTATTTTCGGAGGCAGCCTCGGGGACTTCCGATTGCTCCAAGGAGCCTCAATCCTAATTAAATTCAGCCCCACAAACTTTTGTCACGTACTGCTTCAGTGCAAGGTTTGGAGGTGGGGCTGGGCCCGAGCTTTCCCTGGTCTGGTACCCATGCACGTTGTCTGCGAGCTGCAGTCCTAGACTTGTCTGGGACACTTGCTAGGAGTTTTAACCGCATCGCCCACCCTGCAAATCAGAGGCAGGATTTCTGAACCGTGTCTAGCCAGATTCCTCAGCAGGATTTCAAACCACTGTAAGTAGATAAGAAAATAATGGCAGTCCTTGGAGGGAGAGGGAACTAACTCCAGGGAGATTGGGGGCGGGGACCAGGAAAACTTCCCAGTGGGACTCCACTTTAGAACTGAGCCTGGAGGGGAAGAGAAAACATTCCAAGAGGGGGAGGGGAGGAGGTCGGGCAATCAAGGCTGGGAAGAATGCAGGTGTGAAGGTATATTTGCATAATGCCTTAGGGGTACTTTTCCTTTCCAAAGCACCTGGAGATAGGATCTAGGATAGCAGGTGCAGGAAGGAAGCTCCCAGAGCATCAGGCTCAACTCTTTCATTTTACAGAGGATTCGAACCCAAGTCTTCTAACTTCGTAGTGCAAGCATTATCGTCACCTGGAGACAGAAGAGAAAACAGCTGCAGAGCGGCTGAGTGATTTGCCCTTATAAGTCCCTTCGCCGCTCTGTGCCTCAGTTTCCCCACCAGTACAGCGAGGAAAAAGGTCCAGTCCAGTGTTTCTCCGCCCCCCCCCCCCCCCGCTTGGACGTTTGGGTTTCCAGGCGGCGCAGCTCTGCTCTGCCCCGCCCCGTCCCGGCTCCTCCTTTCGGGCTCTGCATACGCGGCCACCCCCGGCTTTCCACTCTCCCCGCCCCGCCGGGCCCTGTTATGGTTGCGGTTTTAAATGACACGTGCGGCTCAGATGAATGAACTCGAGGGTCCCACCCCCTCCATCAGCCAATCACCGCGAAGTTCAGTACGATAGCTTCCGCCTATTGAGGCGCCGCGGCCGGCGAGGACCGGGGGCTCGACAGCCCACGTGGGAGCCCAGGGCCGGGGAAGGGGGCGGCTGCCGGGCGGAGGCGGGCCCCAAGCGCCGAGCTAGCCATTGGCTGGGTCTGCTCGGGACGCGAGGGCGGGGCGAGCGCGAGGCGCCAAGGCTTAAATGTGACTGACAGGCGGGAGCGGGGCGGGGCTGGCCTAGAGAACGGTGAGTGACAGGGAGCGCTGTCCAACGGCAGGAGGGGCCGGGCGGCGGCGCCCAATGGACATCGGCGGGGCGGGGCAGCGGCCGCAGCAAGTTTGGTTGCGCGGGGCCGCAGCGGAACTGTCAGTGGCGGCGGCGGCGGCACTGGCTGAGGGGCAGCGGCAGCGGCAGCGGCGGTGGCGGCGGAGTCTGGTCTGCGGCTGCGGTGAGTCCCTTGGCCGCTCGCTCCCGGCCCCGAGCTTCCTTCTCGCCCCCCTCCTCCTCTTCCTCCGTCTCTGCCCCTCCCCGCCCCTCTCCACCCCCCATCACCCGCCCCCGCCCTCAGGGGAGCGCGCGGACGTTTATGTAACGCACGCGCGCGGAGGCGCGGGCCCGAAGGGGCTGGGGGGGAGGGCACGCGCCCCCTCACCGCCCCCCCCCGCAAGGGAGAGCGTCACTCGACCCCATCACCCCGCCCGCACCGCCACCTGGTCCTCCGACGCGCCTCTCTCAGTTTGCCCTTCTGTCAAATGGGCGCAGCGCGCCCGGAGGGGACTCGCGTGGCTCCTTGCTCCCATTTTACAGGTGGGGAAACTGAGGCCCGGAGGGAGAGGACTTGCCTTAAGCGCCCTTCTAGCTAGTCCCAAACAGAGTGTAAGCTCCCCGAGGGCAGGCACCCCCCCCCCAGACTGCACCATTTGCTTGTCCCTGGATACCCCGGCCGGGGAAACTGAGGCTCTGCGAGGGGCAGGGTCATGGGGGGGCGCAGAGGGCCTGCGGCAGGGAGCCGGCATCGGCGCCTCCCAAACTAATGCCGCTCCCGCTCCAGGAGGCGCCTAATAAATGCTTCTCGTCTCCCACGTGTGTCTTGGCTGCCCCCCCCCTCTGTCCCCCCTCCCCTTCAGATCAAGTGGGGGGGAGGTCACCTTTATTAGGCAGATAGTGTGTTGGTATCCTCAGCGAGGTGCTTGTGGACTGACTGACTGACAGACACCAAGCTGTATGACCTTGGTCTTGTCATTTCCTGTCCCTAGGCCTCAGTCTTCCCCCATCCACCAGTTTTCTGGCAAACAAGTGAAGGCTCAGGGTGGATGACTGGGCCAGAGTCTCCTCCCTGGGCTGCTTCCTCTTAGCTCCTGATGAGGCCCGTCATTCTCTGGGGCCGAGGACTGTGGTGGGGGCTGCCAGGACTGGCCTTCCCGTGCTGGGAGAACCTTGCCAAGGTGGCTGGCCAGCTGGGCGCTGCTTGGACTGGCCCCACTCGCACCTTGGTCTTTGCCCTCCCCAGGCCGGCCTCTGGAGGAAGGGGGGCTGCTGGCTGGGCCAGGCCGGGAGATTGTGTGAGCCGCGTCTGCTTGGCTGGGACTGGGGCTGGGGGCCAGCAGGAGAGTGGCTGTGCAGCCAGGAAGCAATTGTGAGGCGCCTACTGCGTGGGACAGGAAGCAAAAGCCCACCTGGGCCTTACCTTCCTTACCTCCCCGGTGGGAAATAACGTGGCCGTAGAAAATGAAATAGGAAACCCAGAGAGAGCCATCATCTTAGCACACGCTTAGAGCCCTGTGTGAGGGTGCTATCTCACTGGGTCCTGAAGGAAGTGTGGGCAGGGAAGGGCTAGTAGGAGCTGTGTGACCCCAGGCAAGTCACTGAACCGGTCCTCACCCATGGACCATGGTAGCCCTTCCCTCATAGGGATGTCTCGAGTAGCAGGAGATAACATATAAAGGGCTTTGTGGGGGCTGTTAGCTATGATTACTGTTGTTAATAATAACAGCCCCATTTTTACAAATGGGGAAACTGAGGTGTGGAGCCGTTCCATGACTTGCCTGAGGCTGGATTTGAGCGCAGGGCTTCCCCTTGACCCCAGGTCCCTCTCCAGGTCATTCCCAGGGGAAGGTTCCCATGGGCCAGAGGCAGGTTTTGCCCATTCATCCTGCCCCACGCATGGACAGGGCTCCCTTCCCTCTCATTCGGATCCTCATCCGCTCTTGCCAAGACCACTGTAATGGCCTCCCCACAAAGTCCCGTGCTTGGCATTCGAGGCTCTTTTGAGGCAGGCGGGTGGCAGGCTGCTTTCTGCCCTGTCTCCTCTCTTTCCCCAGACCAGGCGCCGTCCCCCAGGCCGGAGCATTCTCCGCTTCTTAGAATGTGTTGCTTTCTTCAGAGCTGAGGGTCTCTCTCAAAGTTAGCAGCATTCTCTTTCTCACCGAATCGAACGCTCTTTCCTCTTCTTGCGCCGCTTCTGGGCACCCTCTAACCAGCTCCCCTTCTTTCCGTCTCCCTGCTTGCTTCTCTCTCGAGGCTTTCCTAGGTCTGTGCTGGATTGTCATGCAGGTAGGTATCCCCTGCCCCGTCCTGGACCCTCTTCTTCCTCTGTACCCCTTTGCCTGCCCGAGCCTCTCTGCTGACCTCCCCTGGCCGTTGGCCGGCTTCAGCTGGAGGGCCGGCACACATGCTAACCTCCTGATGGCCCAGACGGGATTTCTGACTTTGTGCCCAAGTCTGCACCTCTCTGATTTTCTGCATCTCTCCCGTCTCCCAGACTTACGATGCAGGTGTCACGTTCTCCTCCGTCTCTGGCCCACCAAATCCAGTCTGTAGCCAGCTACTCCCATTTCTACCCGTGTGACATCTCTCTGGCGCCCCCTTGTCTCCTGTGCGGTGGCCGCGCCCTGGGCAGGCCCCCATCCCACACACCTGGGCTGTTGCTGCAGCTGCTGGGCATCCGGTCTGGCCTTCACTCAGCACAGCAGTCTTTCTCAAGCACCACGTTGACCGCGTCCCCGCCCCTCCCAGTAAAATTCGGTGGCTTCCGATGATCTCCAAGAGCGAATAGCAGATCTTCCGTTGGGCACGGAGAGGCCTCTTCCCAGGCTTCCTCTGCTTTACTTCTCCCCCGACGTTCTGGGATGGATTGTTAAGTGCCTACTGTGTGCTGGGCACTGGGCCAAGCAGACAAGGTACAGATGAGATAAATCTGAGATAAGTGAGGGAGATTGAGGAAGGCTTCTTGTAAAAGATGGGATTTTAGCCCGGCCTTAAAGAAAGCGCAGATGAGGAGGGGGAAGCTTCCGTCCCAGAGGAGGGTCTTGTTCATGGACCAGCCAGGAGGCCAGACAGCAGTGTTCTCTTGCTGGATCCTGGGAGTCACTGAGCAAGGCAGGGTGACCTGGGCCTTCCCTGGTCTTGCCCTTTCCCCTCAACCCCCCCTCAAGGGGCCCTTCCCAAATAGAAATCTCTCTATTTTGCTGTTATAGATGTGGGGCTATTTGCTGTGACACGACATCACAGCCTTTGTGGCTGGTTTTGTCTGCGTGTCTCCAATGCCTAGGAGAGGGTCCAACACATAGTAGGCACTTGCTGCTTGTTGACTGAATGATGGAAAGTTTTGATTGGAACAGTTCCTTTCGTAGCATCGGGAAAGCTGAGGACGTGGGTTAGCTCTGCCCCCAAACCTCCACTGCCTCCGGGACTTGGTGGAGAAGTTAGAATCACCCCTTTTTTTCCCTTAGGTAATGGTCCAGAAAAACCAGGATCTCCAAACCTAAGTTCTGTTTCCTGTTAATCAAGGTCCATAAGGCAAGCAGCAAGGACTCCTTAGTCACCTGAGGTCAGCAGGAGCTGCCGAGGCTTGTCCGAAACCTACCTCTCTGTGATCTGGCTGATGAGAGCGTCCCGGAAAGCCTGCAGAGCCCTCCCAGTGCATTGTCCCTGGATACGCCAGCCAGGGACTCTGAGGCTCCATGAGGGGCAGGGTCATATGAGGGGGCACAGAGGGCTGCCTGTGGCAAGGGAGTGGGCCCCTCCCAAACCAATGCCGTTCATTGGGCTCCTGCTCCAGGAGGCTCCGAGGAAGCTGAGGCTCAGAGTAAATGACTTTCCTGTGGTCAGTCCTATGGTTGGGGAAGGTAGAAGGATTTGAACCCACGCCACCCTCCCTCCATTTTACAGGTGAGGAAACTGAGGCCCAGAGAGCCTTGGTGACTTGTCCACAGAGGTAGTAATGACAGTAGCTGCATCTGAACTCCGGTCGTCTGCCTTCAAAGTACACGTGGCATCTTTTCCTCTTTCTTCACTCTCTTTGGGAGTCAGACCTAGGAGTGGTATTGCTGGGTCAAAGGGTAGCAGTTTTACAGCCCTTGGGGCGAAGTTCCAAATTATTCTCCAAGTTGGTTGGACCAGTTCATGACTCAGCCCAGCAGTGCCTCGGTGTCCCTGCTTTTCCACATCCCCTCTAGCACTTGTCTTTTCCTTCTCTGTCATGTTGGCCAATCTGATAGATGGGAGGTGGCACCTCAGGGCTGTTTTGATTGCATTTCTCTAATCAATAGTGATTTAGAGCATTTTTTCAGGTGACTGTTGATAGCTTTGATTTCTTCTGAACACTGCCTGTTCGTAGGCTTTGACCATTTATTTATCTGGCCTGTGTCTTTGTGGCGGTAACAAAGCTTGATGGCATTCACTTGGCTGTGGTGTGCAAGGCAGATTGGGAGGGGGCAGAGACCAGCCTCAGGAAGACCAGTTAGGAAACTGTC